CTGAGCGCCAAAGAATTGATGCTTTTGAACTGTGGTGTTGGAGAAGACTCTTGAGAGTCCCTTGGACTGCAAGGAGATTCAACCAGTCCATCCTAAAGGAGATCAGTCCTTGGTGTTCATTGGAAGGACTGATGCTGAAGCTGAAACTCCAATATTTAGGCCACCTGATGTGAAGAACTGACTCATTGGAAAAGACCCTAATGCTGGGAAAGATTGAAGGTGGGAGGAGAAGGAGATGACAGAGGATGAGATGGCTGGATGGCATCACTGACTCAATGGACATGAGTTTGAGCAGGCTCTGGGGGTTGGTGATGGATAGGGAGGCCTGGCGTGCTGTGGTTCATGGGATCAGAAAGAGTCGGACATGACTGAGCAACTGAACTGAACTGAACTGTGCTTTTTGTTGGCTTGTTTGTTGGCTTACTTCATTCTGCTTCACACAAGTAGCTGTGCTGTTTGTCTTTCCCCATAGCTCATGAGTTCCCCAAGGAGAGGAGAAGGTAGAAGGGAATTAGTTATCTGAACATTAGAGTAAGGCTGATGGTTTAGCCGAGTGGCTAGGTGCAGTGAGATGTGTGCAGAGCTTTCTTTTCTGAATCCTGTATCTGGATTCAAGTGAGGGAAAGAGACAGAAAGGGAACAGCTCAGGACATGAATCTTCGGTGCCAGACACTGTGCCAAGTGCGTTAAGCACATTATTTCATTTAACCTTCACAGCAGTCTAGTAAGGCCCATATTCTTATTCCCACTTCACAGATGAAGGCCATGAGACTCAAAGAGCTTAAAAAGCCTACTTGCCCAGAGTCACTGGCTATTAGAAGCAGCAGAGTCCACATGAAACCCAAGTTTGCCTGCCCTCAAAGCTCTGTCCACTACCCTGTGCTGCCAACAGCAGGACTGTACCCTACCTCATTCCCTACTGTGTACCACTCACCTCTACCCCATCACACACAGCACAGGACCAGCACATGAGAGGCCTCAATAGATATTTCTGGAACTGAACCCAAGAAATATGAACATTTCTTTTTTAAGGCAAGATCTGTCTCACCCATTTCTTTGTCATGTGCCCAAAGGATGCCCCCATGGACAGTGATCTCCAAGGGCCTGACCTGGACACCATGGAGGAAGGGAAGCTCATTCATTCATTTACTCTGTGGGAGGACAGGAAAGTGGCGGCAAGAAGAACCTGACAGGAATCCGTTGTCTGAGTTTCAGTTCTGTGAATTTGGTTGGAGACAGTATGGTTCTGAGTTTCCTTTTTGCTTCTGCATTCCCACAGGTGCACTGACTTTCATTCTCACAGATCACCAGCTGTGTGCCAGAAGGTGTCATCTCATGTCCCAGTTCATCTTCTGTAAAGTGAGCTTAATACTCTCTGCCTTATCTACACCACAAGATTGTTGGGGGAATCAGACTATTTTAAATTTGAGTAAAAGTTCTTTATAAACTTCCAAGTTTTAAACACCTCTAAGGGATTCTATGGCAGGCTTAGGGCACAGACTAAAGGCTAGGGTGGGAGCCACCCTGAAGCCAGGTGACCCCGATAACTAAACAAGCTGCTTTCCTCCTGAAGAAGGATGAAAGCGAAAGACTGAAACTCAGATGACTAAGAGTAGAACCTGGCCCCTCACCGTGGGTTTCTCGGGAGCTCTGTTTCCCTGGCCTCCAGTTCCCCAGCCTGTCTTCTGCCAGCACTCAGGTCCTTGGGGGCAGGGGAAGGAGCAGTAAGAACTCAGAAGGACAGGACCTGTCACAAGGTGCTATGTTCGAGATCACCTACTGATGTCATTTGTGGGACAGGAAAGCCCAATTCACAATGAAGGTGACTCATAGGGGCGGAAGGGAAGAGAGGCATGAGACGATCATGCTTGAGATGGCAAGATGCAGACAAGGTCCCGGAACTGACTGTGGCAGATTCTCTATCTCAAGTCCCCAGCTTCAGTCTGTCTGGGGACGTCCAGGCTCCCTGTGACTCACTAGCAGTGTGAGAGTGACAAGACACAATCAGAATTTGCATGATCTGAGATGATAGTACACACACCTCACACACACTAGTTCCCCCCCCTCCAAACACATACACAAGCACATACACACAGTCTGGCTCCCAGTAAAGCAACATCTTCAGTGAAAATGACCTATTGCTAGAGAAACCCAATGTGCAAGGAGGTAGAGGTGCCTGGGAGGTAGTGGCAGGGACAGACTCACCAGTGAGAAGACCAAGGAGGAACAAGGACCACAGGAGAAAAATACCCATCCTATTCAGCAGACTGACCCGCCTCAGGACGGCCAATGGGCCATGTGCATGTAAACGTCAGCCCACAGACACTTCCCGTTTTTATTTATTTTATTTTATTTTTTCATTTCCTGTTTTTAGAGCTCACTTTAATCACATGTAGCTTTTGAGTCACAGGATGTAAAAATAAACGGACGTGAAAGAAAGAAGCATGAGAAGTAGCAGAGTGAGCTGTTTTAAAGCCAAAGCTGACAATGTCTCAGCCTTGCTTTAAACCCTTCCAAGGTCCCCCACCCTTTATATGCTAAAGTCTAATTAAGATCACAGTCCTGGAGGACAAAATCCTTCAGGATCTGCTGGCTTCCCGTCCTGAGCTTGGTCTCATGTTCCATCACCAAGTCTACCATCTAGGACTCCCCCACATGATTTCTTACTGCTGGAAATGGTTGCTGCAACTTGGTTTACTGGATTACCCTAGTCCCTGCCACCTAGCTTACCTCTCTCCAACACCCTCCCATTCCCCCATTAAAGTTGTGCCCACCTCGGGAAAGACTTCCCTAAAACCCCAGGCTAGAACAGGTGCCCGCTTCAGGGCCTCTCAGTTTCCTCCTGTTCACCTCTATGGTTATATCCACCTTGCTTACCATAAAAGTCTGCTTACTTGAATATTCTTTCCCCAGTATACTCTCAGCTCCTTGAAGGTAGGGTCTACCTTTTTCATCCTTTAGTTCCTAGTGACTAGCTCAGTATCAGCATATAATATGAATTTAGTTCCTACATACTGTACCTTCTTTAGCACACAAAGAATGCTGGAAGGATCCAGGAGAAAAGACTTTTAGGCCCACCTCTACCTCCAACCACGAAGGACTACCAGATATTATCTTGCTCTCTTGGCCTGTTGGTGGTATGATTGAGGGAGTTGTCTTAAAAGTCCTGATCCATGGGTGGATGGAGGGAAAAGGTAGAACTGGGGCAGGTGTAGAGATCCCTCCCCTCTTCTCCACACCTAAGAGTCCTGATGGCTTTGTGAGGCTATGCAAACTCTACTGACATCTCCGTGAGTATGTGATTTGACTAGTGTCCCCCGTTGGCTCCCTTACTTCTCAAATTTTGACAAGCATCTCCCTAGTAGTCAGTGTATGGTGGCTATATGTCCTAACAAGACTTGAAGAGAATCCATGCTGTTTTTAAGAAGATCACAAGTGGTCTCCCATTGGCCACATGCTATAGACGCTTTGGCCCTTATCTTATGTGACTGCTTGGTGTAATTCAATATTGCCACCCTCCCTGCTTGAAACCCTCTCTTGGGGGTGCTCCAGGATGCTACTCTCACTGGATTCTCCTCACTCATTTTTTTCCAAGCATTGCACTAAGACTGCTGATTCAAAGATGAAAAGAAGTCTCTGTAAGCATGTTGCTCATAGGCCAGTGGGAAAGAAAGTCACATCAATAGAAAAATAAAGTGATGTGGATGACTTAGCCTGGGGATTGGGTGCAGTGGGATAGGTGGGAAACTTTATGATATGAGTCCTGCCTCTGCTGCTTGCTAGCCCTGTGATCTTAGCAAACTAGGTTCCAATCAATAAGACTCCCCCATTACCATATATTTCCCTAAAGATGGTTTTAGTGCATAGAAAATCATTCATAGGCTATATTGTTTTTAAGAATTAATATTCAGTTTATTAAAAACAAATTAAAAACCTTGGTCAGCCTTAAGGCCAATTTAGCTTACAAGTCATGTTGGTCTATTTACAAATCAAGAAACTTTTAACAAACCTTTTTAGTGACTTTTGATAATATTTGACTTATTTTACAAATGTATAAATTGATTCTCTTAAGGACTTCAGTCCATTCACAGATCACTGCCTTGTTATGGCAAAGGAGCTTCCATAACTCAATGAAGCTATGGGCCATGTCATGCAGGGCCACCCTAGATGGATGGATCATAGTGGGGAATTCTTACAAAACATGATCTACTGGAGTATACCACTCCAGTATACTTGCCATGAGAACTTCATGAACTGTATAAAAAGACAAAAGAATACGACACCAAAAGATGAGTCTCCCAGGTCTGAAGGTGTCCAATATGCTAAAGGGGAAGGGCAGAGGACAGATACTAAGCACCAGAAAGAATGAAGCAGCTGGGCCAAAGCAGAAATAATGCTCAGTTGTGGGTGTGTCTGATGATGAAAGTAAAATCCGATGTTACAAAGAACAGTATCGCATAGGAACCTGGAATGCTAGGTTCATGAATGCAGGTAAATTGGATGTGGTCAAACAGCAGATGCTAAGAAAAAACATCAACATCTTAGGAATCAGTGAACTGAAATGGACAGGAATGGGCAAATTTAATTCAGATGACCATTATATCTACTATTTTGGGCAAGAATCCCAAAGAAAAAATGGAGTAGCCCTCATAATCAACAAACGAATCTGAAATGCAGTACTTGGGTGCAACCTCAAAAACAAAAGAATGACCTCTGTTCCTTTCCAAGGCAAACCACTCAACATCACAGTAATTCAAGTTTACGCCCCTACCACCAATGCTGAAGAAGCTAAAGTTGATCATATCTATGAAGACCTAGAAGACCAACTAGAACTAACATCAAATAAAGATGTTCTATTACACCTGGAGTAACAGGCAAATTTGGCCTTGGAGTATGGAATGAAGCGGGGCAAAGGCTAATAGAGTGTTGCCAAGAGAACGCACTGGTCATAGCAAACATCCTCTTCCAACAACACAAGAGAAGACTCTACA